TCAGCCCAGAGGCAAACAGCATATGAATACACAGAGAAAAGACAATGAAAGCGCAGTAAATACAGTCAATCAATTAAAGAAATGCAAAATATAAAGGTCACCAAATACTCACCAGTCACACTGGTCTGCATGAGTTTGCGAGCTGCATTCGTGTTATCACCAGAGATGTAGCTCTAGGAGAGTCGTGCTACCTTTTAGCAAATTCTATTAGTTTTCTGAATACAAATCTAAATGTTCATTTGAGTTTGTGCTTTTTTCTTGACCTCAAATTTCTCAGCTGTGATGGGCAGCTCTTGTATTTTATCAGGGCCAAAACCTCTGCTGCGCCACAAATAGGCTTCTTAACAAGTTATGTCTCTCTGACGCCTTCTCTATCATTGCATCAACATGATGTGTACATGTATTACTGCAGCAAAGTGAATCTAAGAGATCCATATGATAATGGATTCTGTATGTCAGTTGCTGTAGTTCCCTTTGACATTATTGCATTATTTGTAACCCACTCCACCCACTGTGGGCTGTGTAATCCCACATAAACACAACAACATGCAATTTTGTGCATGGAATGTTATCACCGACTTCAAGGAACAGCAATCTTAAGTTTTTCCAACACGTTCAAGCTGTGGCTAGAATCATATGATGGCTACAGCAGCTGCCAGAATTACTGGACAACAGTCTAAAGTAAAATAACCATTGATGTTATTATGAGTTTGTGGGTGCCAGACACTTAATCAAATTCTGAAAGCCAAATAAGTCAGGCCAGCTTCCTTATGAGGTAATCACCTTGGATGATGAAAACAAAAGGGAAGATGATGGCCTGTGAAGAAAGCTAAAGGGAGGCTGCTTTGGATGGGGCCACTCCTCCAGCTTAGAGTTAAAGCAGGGGTTTAGAGTTGGCTGGGATGTGACCTGGAGGAAAAAGGGACTCAGCTATACAGCTTCAAATAAATCGTTTTGTATTGCAAAGTGCATTATACAAATTTGACACCAGATGGCGATGGTGAGCTATGGCAAATTCAATACATTTTTCAAAACATTTTTTTATAAAGCATTTTCACAATTTTTTTTTTTATGTGTCTAGATTCCACCAAGTGTGGTAGTGTGTTAAAGGTGGCAAGCTGGAGAGATGGTAAGAGCCATGGCTGATTTCTGCTGATATCCAAGGCTGTGGATATGGGAGAAAGAAGACCCTATTGGGGTGTAAATCCTGTGTACCCCTCCATCCTAGGCTCAGGTTGTATATATGTGTAAATAAACCATATATCATAAAGACACCACAGTCTCCACCGTGCTTCACTTCCAAAAGGATACGTGAACCCTGAGTGAGTGCCTGGAACCTCTGGAATCTCACACTGATAGGAGTTTGGGGTGGCATGCAACAATAGCATTCCCTTCCTGAAATATAGATTAATTGGCTACAAAGACAATTAAATGGGACACACCAGTTATTTCCAAAGGGAACATCAGTTCTTCACAATAGTCCTTTCTCTGGGCTATACCTCTCTGGTCCACATCTGCAGCCTCCTTGAGGCTGAAACAGGTCCTTGAACTTTGATGATGCCTCTTGCTTGGATGGAGGATGGAGAGTGTGTGCAGATGGCTTTCTTGTGGCTGCAATGTCACTTATTGTAGTCTCATAGGAAGCTCCACCCACCAAACATTGTTGCCCACCAACCACTTGCAGGATGCAACCCTCAGAAGTTTGCACAAGCCAACTCACCATTTGCGGGCTGTGGCTTTGCGGGATGGAGGAGGCTGTGCCCTTCCTGATAGGGGAGGGGGCATGAGCCCTCTCTGCCTATCAGGAACCGGATCCTAGCCTGAACCCTGCTTTGGCAAAAGGGGATGCAGGCTGGGACTTGGGCTGTGCCGGGGGCGGAGCCAATGGAGCTGATTGTGGGCCTCCCTCTGATCTGCCCCTTGCCCGTTTAAGCAGCCAGCACCTGGGGCTCAGCCTGTTTGTTCCTCCCCCAGATGGCAGTCCCTGCGGGGGTCACCCTATTGGATGTAAGTCTTAGGAACCGCCGCCTGGATTGACCACACGTCACTTCCGGCGGGCGGGCCGGAAGTATTTCGATTGCCCCATGCCCAAGCCAAACCTCTTTCATCTGTATTCAATGAAGTTGTGGCTTGTTTTGACCCAAAACCAGTCTTATTGGTCTCTTATTATACAGGCTGGGGTATAGGAAGTCCAATGCCTGGTCCTGCAAGAAGAAATCTCAGGCCCTCAGGCTGAAAACGTTTTCTCTCACCAATGAAGGGTTGCCATATCTTGAAGAGCAAAATAGAGCCTGAGCCACTGCCCATCCAAGAAGGGAATAGCGGCGCGTGGGGCTGCTGTCACGCCTGTGTGCCTCTTTCCCGGCTCGGTCCGGCCACGGCATGTAGAGCAGCCCAAGCCCAATCTGCTTACACCTGAGCCAACCCCTTCCGAAATAAAAAGACCCCAAACCAGGACATTGCCTCTAAAATGTAAACAAAAACCCTGATGGGCATGTTGGCCCCTCAAAAGAGGACATGAGGACATGTCTGGGATTTCTCGGACACATGGCAACCCTACTCCAACATAACCTTTGTAGAAGCAATCATATGCATTGCTAGGTTCAGTGCTAATAGTCTTTTCAAAATCGAAGAAATGCACCCCCCAGATTTAATTAGCAGATAGTGGGTGATGGACATCTGCCAAATTTAATTAGGAAAAGTTGAGCAATTGAGTAGATATTTGTGCTGGGTAGAAAGACTGAGGTGATACTGATGGATGAACATGAGACAGAAGCATGATTCTGTTGCACAACAGGACATGTTGTCCTGAGAATAATTAAGCATTCTTAATGGGAAACATGGCTGCATCCAAGAGATTTTATTGACTTCCATTTTATTAGGCAGTAGTTATGTGATACTCAGAGTACTGAGTCAGCTTTCAGGTTGCTCTGTTACTGCAATTGAATACTTGAAGAAAGCTGCTAGAAATGTACTGCTCATAAGAACATAAGAAAAGCCCTCTTAATTCAGACCAGTGGCCCATTTAGCTTAGCAACCTGTTTTCCCAGATGTTCATGAGAAGCCCAAAAGCAGGAAGAGCATTTCTCAAGTCAGAAACTAGATACGCTCCATTACGTTCATCATTATTATCCAACTGAACCAACAGGTTTTATTTTTCTAATCTTACAAATAATAACTTGAGCCAACAAGCATGTTTTCTTTAATATTGATGAATTAACCACAAAAGCCAAACAGAGCAGCAGCAGAAGCACAAGCCACACTGCTGAGTTCAGGCTGCTGTCAATAAATTAAGTATTAAAATAATCTAGTCGCGTTGACTTTGAAAATGCCATTTGCTACTTATAGATACAGAATCGTGTGTACAGTGCCAAGCCTTCCATTTCAGTTATGTGTTTCTACATCATTACCAGAATTCACAGGATGTTCCAACGTTCCTAAATCATTACCAGAATTCACAGGATGTTCCAACGTTACAAGCAAATTAGTTCTGTAAGATTGCCACCTTTGTTCTGGCAAAATACAGGATAGGGCAGGGTGGGGCGGTTGGGGGTGATTCCCCCCCCCAACCTGGTGCTGAAGTGACTCAAAAGCAATCCATTACAATCTATTGCAGCCTAAGTGGATGACCCCTCTGGAATTTAACACAAATGCATGCATGCATGCACGCACGTGCACACACACACAAATTTGTAAATCTGTCTGTGCTTGGTTACCCAGAGTTTAAATGCATGTCCTTTCCCACACCCATTCAAACACATGCATTTGGAGAGGATCCCTAACTTGGCAGAGAGAGACAGAGACAGAAACAGAGAGGGAGACACACACACACACACACACAGAGAGAGAGAGAGAGAGAGAAGACCTGAAATACAGGACAAAACTGTATCAATGCAGGACACAGCATTTTACATTGAAATACAGGAAAAATCCTGTATTATACAGGATAGGTGGCAACTCTAATGGTGCCAAGCACTGTGCATTCCCATGCAAAACACTGCTTTTCATGTGGCACAGTCTGAATCTGCCACTTAAAAGCCTCCTACAAAGCAGCTGCAGCCCCACATTGGCACCCAATTCCTTTTGTTATTGGACTATCTCAGAATAGGCAGGTTAAATAAACTCCACATCTATAGCAGTTGTCAAGGACAGGTTGGATGAGGAGGAGTGGTGGGAGCCTGCCTCCCAAAAGCCCCCTAGGAGGGCTCCGAAGATGATACCTTAGAGTCTGGAGCCTGGCGGTGGGACACTGAGGAGCAGTCAGCAGAAGGGATGAGCTGGGAGCTGCTAGAAACAGGAGACTTGAGTCATCAAGGGACCTCAGGAGAAGGAGGGTCCTCCAGGACAGGATTAGAAGCTGAGAGTCACAGCATGCACACAGACAGTCCCAGTCTGCTTTTTTGGTATGGTACAAGTGGAAGTGTGGATAAGCTCCTACGCTGGAGTAAACACACACAAGGATGTGCTGGGAGATCACTGAAGGTTGCTTTCAAATGTCAGCACCTCCCCTGTCCAATAGTAAATGCAAACCCAGAAATGAAATGTAAGAGATGATACCTGTTACATAAGGGATCTGGAGCTATATTATAAGTTTTACATGACAATTGGTTTGTTCCTGAGATAAGAACATAATAGTAGCCCTGCTGGATCAGAGCCAAAGTCCATCCAAGTCTGCCACCCTGTTCTCATCTTGGCTAACCAGATGTCTATGGGAAGTCCATGGACAGGATACGAACACAATAATCCTTAATCCTGCTAAGTACAGATAGATTCACAGCAACCAACTTGGGAGAATCAGCACAGCTGATGCTGAGTTTTCAAATAAGTGACATGCTGATTTAGAATCTCAGTTACTCAAAAAAGCACAAGCAGTCTTGGGAAAAGATAACTTTTGTTGACATCCTGAATTGCTTGGCTTATCCCGTAGGGCCCCTTGGTCCAAACCAAAGTTCAGTGAGATTTACGAGCACTCAGAGAGCTTGGGTCCATATTCCAGCATCTCATTTCGTGCATTTCTTCAGTTTTTTTCTCTGTTCCACTGCCATATGCAAAGCTTCCAGGATCATACGTTGGTTATTCAGAATATTGTATTCACTCAGTTTCACTAGTTGATCGTACTCTTCCTCAGTGAATGTCAGTGAGTAGGTAGAGTAAGGGGTGCAGTTACTGGAGACATCGACTTTGCCTTCTTTCATTTCTGATGGAGAGCGTTTAACACCTATGAAAAAATTGCAGTAAGGTAGTGCTGTAAGAATGGGATTTACCAAAATTAAGTTCATACATGCATATTCAACAGCTGCTAAGGCACACAGATTTCCCGTTGAAATTGTTCTGTTTGACTGAAGACATGTTTTCTTTTCTGTGAACTGCCCTGAGACCTCCCAGTATAGGGTGGTATATAAATTCTACTACTACTACTACTACTACTACTACTACTACTACTACTGTTTAAAAACTGAATTTCTTGGATTGTATGCTAGTGGTACTGTTATTGAGGCTTGATACATCCATGCTAGGAAATTAAGACCCTTCATATATTGTGCAAGGGGCTTTTCTGCAGTGAGTAGCAAGTAATTATGTCTCCCCCCCTCTACTTATCTCTCTCTCTCTCTCTCTCTCTCTCTATCTCTATCTCTATATCTTTATCTAGAATTGTCATCAGGACCGCAGTGCACAGGGAGAAGAGGTGTATTCCTTCCATCTCCAGCTATGATCTGGACCAAAGTCCTCCTTGGCATGGCTATGAAGCTTAGGATAAAAATGGGAGCTTTTCCCCAAAGTCTTATAGACATCCCTGGGGGTGGGGGAAGGTTGTGGATCACGGCTGAAAAAGGAACTGATGATCTGATGACAATCTGGGGCCCCTGTGCCTGTAGTTCATTAAATAAAGCAGGGGAATGAAACAAGAATTAGTTGCACACTGTGCATTTTGTGAAATGACTAGTTTGGCCATTGCTGAAAACATTGAAGAAGTGTAGGTTCCATTTACAACTCTGCTATAGTGTTAAGAGAACAGTTTTATTCAATCAAAAGCAAAACAAAAAAAGATGAAAGACAGTGAGATCTTGATGAAACAGCATGCCTCACACCTCTGATCCAAGGAGATAAACAAGGCATTTTCAGGAATTGATCAGTCTAATGAAGAACTGAGGAGGTTAAGGGGTTCCATGAGCCAAGTTTATGAGCATTACAAATGCAGAGTTGTTGAACAAGACACCTGGTGCAAGGCGCCTGAGTATTATCAGTGTGCTGGTGGCTGACCAGCCACCACTACCAGATGATGAGCAAACTCTGCCACCTGCCAGTGCCAACCACCTGACTATCACAGTGCCTCATGAATACAGATTTAACTTATTTATTTATTCAATGTCTTTCTAGCGCGCTTTTCTCCCAAGTTGGGATTCAATCAAGGTGGTTTACAACATTTTAGAAACATCCATTATAAAATACAGAATAATCAAAACAAGCAGCTAGTTAAAAATGATAATTAAAATACATCACAACATATCTAAAGCTAGCATTTTAAATATAATTTGCCCTGACAGCAGCCCAATGATCAGCATCGTCTGCACCTTAGTTTCCAAAGGCCCGACCTAACAGCAAGGTCTTAGAGAACAATGGTGGGAAGGATTAGATTTTAGGAGGCAGGTCCATTCAACTTCAAAAAGCCAGTTTAAGCTCAGCCAATGTCAGCTAGACTTGCCATGTTAAGGCTGGCACTGGCAGTACTTTCTTTGAAGCTAGACTTCCTTAGCTGTGCTAAAGAAGATGCACAGTTGTGGGTCCTCATAAGATATATAACTGAGTTCAAATCTGCAGATTTTGTCATTTCTGAGGACAGACGCTTGACTCTAGTGGTTTTTAGAGGAATTTATTTGCTTCCAAAATGTGTGGGGGAAATGGATTTTCTGTGTTTCTCCCTTTCCTCTGTTATCCTCTTTCTCCTCATCTGTAAACATGTAGATAATAAACCACTAAATACAGAACTGCCTTTTAAAATATAACTTTGTAAATATAATGTACAAATAATAATAATAATAATAATAATAATAATAATAATAATAATGGCATACCGGGTGCTTTGTAGTAACGAAAGCTATCATTCACTTGTGGGAAAAATACTAATATTGGTGCTTCTGGATTCTCTGCATTGTCAAACAAATAGCATTCCTTCAAGTGTTTGTCATCTTCATGTATCACAGCTTTGGGAAATGGGATTCCTTGTTCTGCACAATACTTGCATGACTGTTCCAGGGGCTAGGTGGAAAAAAGTAGTAGTAGTAATAACTATTATTACTTATACTCCACCCATCTGACTGGGTCACTCCAGCCACTCTGGGTGGTTAGTAATATGATAGTATGCTAAATGTGGAAAGGCTTATTTTAAATTCAGTACTCCTCATTTCTCTGTACAATTTCCTTCCAAGAGCAGACACCTACCAGAACTCTCTTTGAAACTCCCTGGGGAAATGTTAGCTACTAAGAGGTAACACAAAGGACTCATATGTAGGTGAGGGATCAGGGGAAATTATTTCATCTTGTCTCTGCATAGCCTGTCCTACGAGAAACAATGTGTTCCTTGTGTCCTTAGGCTCTGTGTTAGTAGTTTCTCCTGAACATTCTGTGACATCATAGCAATTCAGATGTCAGGGCAGGATGATTCACAGTCAGAGACATTTACAGTAACCCCAGCCTCCAACTTATTCAAGGGCTTTCTCCTAGTCTTTTCTTACTCCTGCAGCTTGTTTCCTGAATCAGTCTTGCTCTCGTCTCTCAGCTTCCTCCCTACCTACTTTTCTAGACCTCCTCTTTCCAGTACCTTTCCTCTTCTCTCTCCTCCCCCCACAACTGAAGCTTGCCTTAGATATGTCCGAAGGAAGATAGGAGTTGGAGGGAAAGGATACAGGGCCCTTGGACTGTGACATAGGGACTGTGATATAGGGTACCTTGGAAGTCAAACAGAATCCATTCTGGAAGTCCGTTCAACTTCCAAAACATTTGGAAACCAAAGCGTGGCTTCTGATTGGCTGCAAGAAGCTCCTACAGCCAATCAGAAGCCATGGAAGCTGCGCCAGATATTCAGCTTCTGAAAATCGTTTGAAAATTGGAACACTCACTTCCAGGTTTCAATCATTCAGGAGCCAATTTGTTTGGGAGCCAAGGTATTCGGGATCCAAGTACGACTGTACTTAGCTATAGCCATCATTTATGATACTCATCATAAAGAGATGGGCAGAAATGGGAAAGATGCATTTCTCACCAACTTCTGTGATCCTGCACTGTAATTTAGATGTATGATAATGTCTGCCTTCCGCTCTTTTCTCAGTATAGGTGCAACGCTTGTATTGATGAAGAATCCAGTATCTACTAGTGACAAGTACTCTTCTGTTTGAGTCAGCTGATTGGGTGAAGAAGCATCGAGTATAGTACCTAAATGGCAAAACAGAATCAGTTTTAAGTGGAACAGAGTAAGCTCGAGTTTTCATTGCCACAGAGGCAATCTTCTCCAACCTGGAGTTTTCTTTGTTCCTACTCAACTTTAAAGAAGAGCCGTACTTAGAAATTTTCTCCTACAATTTCTCTTCTTCAGTTTCAGATGTTGAGTACTTTACAAATATTGTCTAAAGTTTCAGTTATTTGCCTAAGGGTGGAACTATGCTTTGCTTTAATAAACACAGGCCCCCAAACTAGAGCTGTCCAGTAATGACTCCTAAAAATTCTCCACCTATTTTGGGGCAAAGAACTTCTCCAATGGTTTCTTGGGTGTGGGGGCTAACCATTGGCAATTGCAATAGCACAGCTTCTGTCTTTTTTCCTAAGATTTTTTGCTCTTGCTGTAGATAGCAGTGGCAGCAATTGCATGGCAGCCTTGCCACCATTTTGCATCCTACAAAATGCCCTGGACCTAGCATCATTCCAGAGAATTGGGGTAGGAGGGAGATGGAGACTATTCAGAGAAAATTCTGCAAAGTGGCTATCCATTTCTAGAAGAGTGGTGGTGGTGGCGGTGGGGGGGGAATCTCATTTATTTTTGAGAATATTTATATGATAATTACAGCTCTGCTCTTCTTTAAAGGAAGCACTATCAGGTATGTGGCAATTAAACAAATAATCAAAGAGGAACCACTAACAGCAGGGATAGCCAATGTAGTGCCCTCCAGATATCATTGGACTACAGCTCCCATCATCCTTGACCCTTGACCTCTCTGCCTGGGGCTCATGGGAGGGGCACAATAACTAGGCAAAGACCCATTGAAGCTCAGTTAGCACACAGCCACTGCCACCTAATGCATTCAAGCCCATAGCATGATCTAGCATGTGCACAAACAATAACACGACATACCCATGGACTGGACATTCGGGTGGAATGTTGAGTGAGGAGCCTTGGCAAGCAGTGTGCTTATTCTAATTTCAGACTGAGCTCAGGCAGCATGTTTTTTACATTAGAATATATATATCCCAAATGATAATACCTTTCCATCTACGGAAACTGTCATTCTCAAGGTAGCCATTGTCCAGTTGGAGACCTCTGAGAAAATTGTGGTACTGGGCAACTGATAGGCGATCAGTAAGCACATCTCTAAATGCACTGGATAGCGGTCCAGCAGGGGTGTACAGATGTGTCTTTTGCTCATGTGGTCGAGGGGGTAGATGAGGCTCTGTATCTACAAAGGAAAAGCAGCAACGATGAATTTATAAAATTTATAAATTTCTGAAACTACAGTCCTTTCCAAACTACAATCCTTTCCAAAAGAGAAATATTTTGTGGAAGTGTCTGCTCAATCAGCAAAAGCAGAAAATCATTTTGAGCCCTCATTCAAAATCATCGTTTAACATTAAACGCACACACACACACACACACACACAATTTAGAGCTTCAGTTGTCTAATACAAGGATGACTAAATCTGAAAACATTTAGACAAAGCATGTTCTCCAATAAATGAGAGCACGTGTTGCGGTGTGGGCCGCCGGGCCAGGCCTCTGGTTGACAGGCAGGTTAATAGTTGTTGCCTGGCATTGTGATTGGATAACCGGGTTGCTGGGGCAAATTGTATGTTGCAAATTGGGTGGGTGGGACCATAGTCTTTAAATATTGGTGCACTCTGGTTTCTCTTTCTCTTTGCAGAGTGCATCGGATCACCCGTCCGCCCGCCCTCTTTTCCGGTTGACCTTGCTTTGCCTGTCATGGGGTCGTCTGCCTTGGCGCAGGGGCCTAGTAGGAATTTTGCCATTTGGTGATTGGCTGTGCCATTTGGTTTTTGCCTACTACTCAGCAATTCGTCACAACTTGTAAGGTTGCGGTTAGGCATTGGTTATAATATGCTGGTGGTGGAGGGGTCAGGATAGGCCGTGCCTGCCCCTCCCATTGCGCTGAAGGGAATTCCGTTAAAGGAATCCTGGGGCTTGCCATGATTTCGTCCAATCCCTGTCATGGGACCAGGGCCGCCCAATCCCTGTCATGGGAATCCTTGTCATAGGATCTGGGCCGGCAAGCTTTCGGGGAGCTGCTGGGGTGAGCGGCGTGGGTCCGACGCTTAGCTCAAATGACCCCCAAGTTTGACTTTCCCTTCTACTGGCTACCGATCGGACCTCGGGATGTCAGTTCTGTCCCAGGCGGGGGGACAGATAGTCATAACCAATGTCTAAACAACCACTCACTGATTTTGTATTTTAATAATTTTGGGCCAAAATAGTGCCCCAAAACCAAAACTAAAATATGTGTTATGTGTGAAGTTATTTGATGGGTGGCCTGGGGACCTACACACGCAAATCTGAAAACATTTAGACAAATGTGCTTACAAGGAGCCAACACTAATAATATACAGGCAGCAAAGTTCCAAAATATTTGTTCATTGCTCACAGATCAGTTTAGAACACAATCAATAGGTCAAAGGCCACTTAGGAAAATAACTAACCAATGTCAGCTATTTGGTCTTGTGTCCACTTGTGCCAGAAGTCCTCTGGGCTTTGAGAATCATTCCAGAAATACAGCAAATTCAGGGAAAATATACTACTCCACATGCCTGTACAGTGAGGGATAATCGATAACAATTTAGCATTATTCTACTGAAAAAATACTATTTATTTTTTGCAGTAAATTGCACTGTTTAATCAGAGCACACATTTGCAATCTCCATGTTCAAACAGACGCATGCTTAAGAAACTATGATGAAGGCAGAACGGTCCTTGCTTTTAGGAATTCCATTTGTGCCATTGTAGCTCATGCCCCGGAGCAGGCAGTGTGGCAGGCCCCCGGCAGGGCCCTCTGTCCAGCTTAGCCCCCCAAGACCTGGGGCAAGTGTGCACCTGGCTACCCCCCACTCTCCGCAGGCTTGCCCTAGAGGACTGGGGCACAGCAGGAATCCTCTACTACCATGTGGTCAGAAGAAGAGATTGACTGTGGGCTGCAAACTATTTGCCAAGGGTCCTGGAGGGCTTCCATACACTCTGCCATATGTGCTGTATCTTCTATGCACTGTGCTCAGTCTTCTCTTTGCATCACACAGCCACCCCTGTAGTAACCTCAGGCTAGGGTGAGGAGGCAGTTCTTCCTCCTCCGCCCTTCCAGTACTGCAGTCTTGCTCAACTCTGGGCATCTCCTTCCTGTACGCAGCCTCATTGGCCTTAAATAGGCTACCACCGGCTGCACATGCTCCATGTCTTCAGACACCCAAGTCTTCTGATGCCTGGCATTGTGCTGACAATGTATCAATTGCCCTGCCGCCATTTGCCTCTGCTGTACCTACCCTTGTGTCAGCAGATTATTTGTGGCGACTTGCCCATTCTGCTTTAATGGGTTGGCTAAGGCAAGTACAGGGTGTATTCTTTCAGTTGTGTGGGTGTGTAAACTCAGAACATGTTTGCGTTTCTTTCCACTAATCAGGGGACTCTGTGAGCGCTACTGTGATTATGAATCAGAGCCACACACCCACACAATTCACTGGTAGCATTGGACAAATCATTATCCCTTCACAGATTATAAGCATTGTTTCAATCCTTACTTCACCTACATTACCTTAGCATTTGTTACAATGGAAGGGATCCTGACATAACATATGCAAAGTTATTTTAACACTGAACAAATAATGCCAGACATCAGAGTGGTGGCCCAGAGTAGCTCCTGGTATAGGCCTCTGTCATGCACAAATACTCAGTGACTGAAGCTATGGGAGATTCTCTAGCCATCAAAAGCACGAGGCTTGCATCTCTTCTTTCTGCTGTGATATCATTGCATTGTGAATTTCCCTGCCTCCAGAAATGCCAGCCAATGAAGTTAGGTAGGGATAGAGAAATTCACCTGACGATATCTTGTTGGGCTACAAGGCAAAAAAGAGGAGCAGATTCAAGGCTGCTGTTTTCAGTGGCGGAGAACTTACTAACTAGTTTCTGCTTCAGTCTAATGAGGTCAATAGGGTTAAAGGCAGCACAGCAATCTTAGCGAAGTAGTCAGAAGCAAGAAAAATGCATGTGCTATAGTGAGCTAATGCCCTTCTCTCATTGCTTGCGAGCTATGAATTACAAAGCTCCTGGCTCTAATATCAATTCTCCTATGAACTCACTAGGTAGTCACTGTTCCTCAGTTCCCAGTCCCATAGGAGGACAGTAGTATTGGCCCACCCTACAATGTTGTTGAATTACTGAGATAATCTCTGTGTAGCATCCTGAGTGTTCTAAGGTGCTCTTAAGGATTAATAATAATAATAATAATAATAATAATAATAATAATAACAATAATAATAATAATAATTTATTTGTTCCCCAGCCACTCTGGGCGGCTTCCAACAAAGACTAAAAATACTTTAAAATGTCACACATTAAAAACTTCCCTAAACAGGGCTGCCTTCAGATGTCTTCTAAATGTCAGGTAGTTGTTTATCTCTTTGACATCTGATGGGAGGGCGTTCCACAGGGCGGGCGCCACTACCGAGAAGGCCCTCTGCCTGGTTCCCTGTAGCTTTGCTTCTCGCAGTGAGGGAACCGCCAGAAGGCCCTCAGCGCTGGACCTGAGTGTCCAGGCTGAGCGATGGGGGTGGAGACACTCCTTCAGGTATACTGGGCCGAGGCCGTACAATTGGTGTACAATTGCATAGAGGTACCTGAACTATAGAAGATGGAGAAGCTCTAAACAGTCAGCAAAAACAAGACCTGGAGCTGACTGTGGCTCAGATCATCAGCTTCTTATAGCAAAATTCAAGCTTAAACTGAAGAAAGTAGGAAAAACCACTGGGCCGGTAAGATACAATCTAAGTCAAATCCCTTATGAATACACAGTGGAAGTGAGGAACAGGTTTAAGGATTTAGATTTGGTGGACAGAGTGCCTGAAGAACTATGGATGGAGGCTCGTAACATTATACAGGAGGCAGCAAATAAAACCATCCCAATGAAAAGGAAATGCAAGAAAGCAAAGTGGCTGTCCAACGAGGCCTTACAAATAGCAGGAGAGAGAAGGCAAGCAAAATGTGAGGGAGATAGTGAAAGATACAGGAAACTGAATGCAGATTTCCAAAAAATAGCAAGGAGAGACAAGAAGGCCTTCTTAAACGAGCAATGCAAAGAAATCGAGGAAAACAATAGAATGGGAAAAACCAGAGATCTGTTCAAGAAAATTGGAGATATGAAAGGTACATTTCGTACAAGATTACCATAATAAAAGACAAAAGTGGAAAGGACCTAAGAGAAGCAGAAGACATCAAGAAGAGGTGGCAAGAATACACAGAGGAATTATACCAGAAAGAAATGGATGTCTCGTACACCCCAGGTAGTGTGGTTGCTGACCTTGAGCCAGACATCCTAGAGAGTGAAGTCAAATGGGGCTTAGAAAGCACTGCTAATAACAAGGCCAGTGGAAGTGATGATATTCCAGCTGAACTATTTAAAATTTTAAAAGATGATGCTGTTAAGGTGCTACACTCAATATGCCAGCAAATTTGGAAAACTCAGCAGTGGCCAGAGGATTGGAGAAGATCAGTCTACATCCCAATCCCAAAGAAGGGCAGTGCTAAAGAATGCTCCAACTACCGCACAATTGCACTCATTTCACACGTTAGCAAGGTTATGCTTAAAAATCTACAAGGCAGGCTTAAGCAGTATGTGGACCGAGAACTCCCAGAAGTGCAAGCTGGATTTTGAAGGGGCAGAGGAACCAGAGACCAAATTGCAAACATGCGCTGGATTATGGAGAAAGCTAGAGAGTTCCAGAAAGACATCTACTTCTGCTTCATTGACTATGCAAAAGCCTTTGACTGTGATGTATGGAAGTGAGAGCTGGACCATAAAGAAGGCTGATCGCCGAAGAATTGATGCTTTTGAATTATGGTGCTGGAGGAGACTCTTGAGAGTCCCATGGACTGCAAGAAGATCAAACGTACAGTGGTGCCTCGCAAGACGAAATTAATCCGTTCCACGAGAGTCTTCGTCTAGCGGTTTTTTCGTCTTGCGAAGCAAGCCCATTGACGGATTAGCGCTATTAGCGCTATTAGCGGTTTAGCGGCTATTAAAGGCTTAAAGGTTTAGGGGATTAGCTGCTAAAAGGCTATTAAAGGCTATTAAAGGCTTAGCAGATTAGATAAAGGGGGGGAAAAGCGAAAAAAAAATCTCTAGACTCGCAAGGTATTTTCGTCTTGCGAAGCAAGCCCATAGGGGAATTCGTCCTGCGAAGCAACTTCAAAACGGAAAACCCTTTCGTCTAGCGGTTTTTCCGTCTTGCGAGGCATTCGTCTTGCGGGGCACCACTGTATCCATTCTTAAGGAAATCAGCCCTGAGTGCTCACTGGAAGGACAGATCCTGAAGCTGAGGCTCCAATACTTTGGCCACCTCATGAGAGGAGAAGACTCCCTGGAAAAGACCCTGATGTTGGGAAAGATGGAGGGCACAAGGTGAAGGGGACGACAGAGGACGAGATGGTTGGACAGTGTTCTCGAAGCTACAAACATGAGTCTGACCAAACTGCGGGAGGCAGTGGAAGACAGGAGTGCCTGGCGTGCTCTGGTCCATGAGGTCACAAAGAGTCGGACACGACTAAACGACTAAACAACAACAACAACCTGAACTATTGTACAGAGATTGTTGCACTTAACATTAAAGATAACAGTCTGTTTTCCTTTCGTTTCACACTGTCTTGACTAGTTCTACCAATACTAAACAATGACTGTGGAACTGGTTGAGTGACAATTTGGGCTACAATTGTAGCTTATTGGTATTTCTAGTTTCTGGGAATCACAGTTGAGGAGAGTGCAGTTGTGCTCAGGTCCTGGTTTCAGGTTTTCCACAGGCATCTGGTTGGCCACTGTGGGAACTGGCTGTCTCGTCCAGCAGGCCCTTCTTATGTTCCAGCTAGCATTTATGCCTTAAACTGACCTATTCATAGAAAAGGTAATTCATTACAGTTTTGGTGTGGGTTTCAGATACCCTACATGCTCATGTACATCAATATGATTTTAGACAGATCATACAGCTCTGTTACTACCCATACTACATGGACTTGATTGCTAATTCGGTTATATTATTGCTACTTCATTATTAAACAAAAATCATAAGAACCTTGTAGGTAACAGATCCGAGTCTCTGGAATCCTCTTCATCAGACGCCCCATAAAGAATTCACTTCCAAAATCTTCAGCACGGACAAAAGCTCCATATTTTAGTATCCCCACTTCATAGGGTGTGAACTCAACCCATTCTGCAGTTACAATCACATTTACAAGAACATGAGCAAAGTGTTCTCTCTCTCTCTCTCTCTCTCTCTCTCTCTCCATCTATGAATTAAGACACATTTTCTTCTTTAGCTTAACTTATAGCTCACCCTGTCCAAGGAAATCACAGTGTGCAGTAGCACACTTGTTGCTCACATTAAAGCATAGCTTGGTTAAATGTCATGTGCAAACTAGGTCATTGCATTATAAGGGCTTAGCCACAGTTACCTTTCTTTCCTCTGTGCTTTCTAGGCATGGTCTGTGCTTTAAACCTCTATGTCCAAGCGCTCTATTTTTTTTTTGCTTTGGAGCTTTCCCTACGAAAACCACTCTTTACTGCTCTACTGGAGCAAATGGCAATCCACGGAAAGCCCAAATTGCCATTTGTTGTGCTCCAGCTTTAAGGAGCAGGTTTTTGTGGGGAAAGTTCTGGTGCAAAAAAAGAGAGCACTCAGACATGGAGCTTTAAAGTGTGGACCTGTACCTGGAAAATATGGAGCAAAATGTAAGTGTGGAGAAGCCCCAGCTCTGAAGCAGACCTTAGGTGGAAACTGCAAGCCAGCTAGAGCATACCCTCCAACATTCCTCAGATGAAAAGAGGGACATTTCTCACTCCCCCCAACTGACCCTCCTTAACCCCCCATTTTTGTCATCCCCACCACCACCACACCAATGGGACACAGAACACATGCCCTCCACTGTCCTGAGACAACCCCTTAACCCCAGTTTTATTTTATTCTTTGGTAGATTTACAAAGTGTGTTCTCCCTCATGGAGAGCACAGGTTGCGGGCGGGGCTGACAAGACACCTCACTGTTACTAGGCAAATGGCTTGGCCATCCTTTAAGCAGGGCCGGGCTGTTACTGGGGAAATCTAGATGTTGCCATTTGCTGATTGACAGCCCTATTTGTTAAATACAATGCTCGCAGCCAAGAACTTCCTGTTTTCGCTGCTTACTTCGGATCACCCGCCATCCCTTCCCTAATTTTAGGCTGTTTGCTTGACCTTGCTATGCCTGTCATGGGGTCGTCTGCTTTGGGGCAGGGGCCCGGTAGGAATTTTGTCCATTTGGCTGATTAGTGTGTGCCACTTGGTTTTTGCCTGCTGTGTAGCAAATCGTCACTACTTGTAAGGTTTGCGGTTAGGCATTGGTCTTGGAATTGGTTGGTGGAGGGGTATGGATTTGGCTGTGCCTGCCCCTCCAAAATGCTGCTGCTGCTTCAAGGGTTTTCCATTAAAGGAACCCAGGGGTTCCCCATGCTTTTGTCCAAAACCCCCTGGCAAGGGGCTAGGGCCACGCAAGCCTCTGGGAGCATTCTGGGGAGAGGTGAGGCATGGTTCCCAGTCCCGTCTCTCTCCCCAGGTGACTTACCCTTGCTGACTTCGCGGGGGGAGCAAATGTCAGAGCTGTCCCCGGGCGGGGTCAGTTAGTGCTACCAATGCCTAAGCAACCACTCACATTGCTGTAATTTGAATAAAGTTGTGGCCAAAATTATGCCAAAAACCTTAAACAAAAATTAAGTGTCAATTGTGTTTTTCTTTGGGGGGGTGTCTTGGGGACCTCGACGCGCAAAAAGAAAAACACACACAAATAAAAAATTTAAGAAAGGGGCAAGATTAGACGCAGATGCACAAAGCATTATTATTATTATTATTATTATTATTATTATTATTATTTTAAATCAAGACTCCTTGTGCTCCACTCCCCCTTTTTCCTGCCCAGGGCAGCCCTGCCCTCAGCCAGCCCCTCAGAGCCAGCATGTCACATGGGCCTGGGCCTAGCAGCAGCAGCAGCCTCTTCTCCTCCTCCTCATCTGCTCTCCAGCAGCCGCTACAAGCTGCCCATGGGAGGAAGTTGGCAGCAGCAGCCATGGAGAGGCAAGAGGATGCTCCCCTCTGCCGTCGCTTGGCAGGAGCTCTGGCTCATCCTCCTCTTTGAGCTCCGTTGCGGAGGAAATTCCGGGATCAGCAGTTGCGGAACATTCTGGGATCAGATCAGAAGCCGGGATGGCTTTTGTAATTCCAGGATTGTCCCTGGAAAATCAGGGCAGTTTGAGGGTATGCTAGAGTGATCTCTTTTATGTTTCTACACATCTGCAGGGACAGCATTCTCAGTGGGGTTATGATACCCACATTGCCTCTGGACTTCATGTATTTATTACATTTGTACCCAACTTTTGGGACGTGGGTGGCGCTGTGGGTTAAATCACAGAGCCTAGGACTTGCCGATCAGAAGGTTGGCGGTTCAAATCCCCGCGACGGGGTGAGCTCCCGTTGCTCAGTCCCTGCTCCTGCCAACCTAGCAGTTCAAAAGCATGTCAAAGTGCAAGTAGATAAATAGGTACCGCTCCGGTGGGAAGGTAAATGGCGTTTCTGTGTGCTGCTCTGGTTCGCCAGAAGCAGCTTAGTCATGCTGGCCACATGACCCGGAAGCTGTACGCCGGCTCCCTCGACCAATAAAGTGAGATGAGTGCGGCAACCCCAGAGTCGGCCACGACTGGACCTAATGGTCAGGGGTCCCGTTACCTTTACCCAACTTTTACATAGTTGGTTAAGGTGGCTTTCCAATCATGAGGCAATACCAAACTCCTACTCCCTCATTTTTCTCTCACAAAAAACAATTGGAGATGAGGATCTAGCGACAGATTAAAAAACAAAAATATCCTACCATTGAAATCCATAGTGCTGTACTTCTCTTTCACATTGATTGCAGTGTAGATTGGTAAAGGATTCTGGCCCTCATTAATTGCTTGCTGCTGATCAGACAGTTTATGGTTGTCTTTCTGTGTTGATTGAAAGAAATATAAGATTGGCTCAGGAAAAAGAAAGTGGTCTAATGCAGAGGTTTTCAAACTTTTTGAGTCCACGGCTCCCTTAACCAACTACATTCTTTCTGCGGCACCCCTGTGGGGCTCAGTAGCCCAGTTAGGTCACTCCTTCCCTGCAGAGCTGGCAGCCCCTCACCCTTTTTCAAATACCCTCTTGGAGTGTTCCCTCAGCCTCATCTCCTCTCCCCTCTTTTTGGGAGTACTCCGGGCAGCCACTGCTGCCATCCCTGGTCTCTGAGCTCCCCACCCCAGATCCAGAGAGAGGTACCTCCTCACATTGCCCCACAGGGGCTTGGGACTTGTCTGTCTATTCCCAACAGCAAGGGCTGGCAGACTGGCTGGCTGGGCTCCCTCACCCACTTGCTTGCTTACTCCAAGGCCACCTCAGCTTCTGGCAATCAGGACCCCCTGGCCAGCTCCAGAGGCACCACTCCCCTGAGGAGCTTGTAGGCAGGGCTGCTGCAACAAACAACTGTGCAAGCCTTGGGGAGGCAGAGATGTGAGAGGGCATCAGAGGAGGGAGGCAAGGAAAGAGGGACAGAGGCCAGTGTTGCCCGTGGCACCCCTGGCCATCATTCAAGGCACCCCAGGGTGTCATGGAACACAGGTTGAAAACCACTGGTCCAATGTGATTTTGGCATCACATTGTGGGTGAAATAGAATGTTATACTGAGGAGCAACATCTCTGAGCATAATGAAGGTTTCATTTAAGCATCATATTAATTTGTTTATTTGTTGTTGTTTTTAATGCTGAGCCTGGAGGCAGATTATTTTTTGAGGCAGTTGAGTGCAAGGTGAAAGATGATTGTTCATGCCGTATGCACTCACCCTACTTTCGCCTCTGGCACAACAGGCTTTGTGGGTTTGTTGTTGTTGTTTTTATATTCTTTCAATTATCCACAAAACTTATTTGAGCATACGGGGACACAAGACAACAAAATTGTGAGTGTACTATGATGGCAGCAGTGACCCTCTCAAACTCAGTTCCTGTCAGCCTAGCTTTTCCACACTAGCATCTCTCCCAACTCAAAGGCCTAGATTTATAAATGTCTAAGTTATATCCAGTATGCCTGGATGATCTGTGCTATTTAACAGGCTAAAAATAAACTCAGGAAGTAACAAAAGTACTGTACCCCATCATGTAACAAATATTCAATAAGGAGCCCCCATAGGTCTATACAGGATGTCTTTTGTCCCTCTTCTTTCCGCTCACGCAGCTGCCTGTTGTAATATTTCAAACGCTCTATGGAAAAGCCATCCAACTTGCACTTGGTCACATGTCTTTTCACCTCATTGATTTGCTCATCCAAATCTTTTTTGGACCAACAAGCATCTCTGTACAAGTTCCCCATGGTCCTGAGAAAGGAAAGACATGGAAGGACAGTGTGAGAACATAAGCTTATACAGTTTGGTACCTTCCAGTTGTTTTGCTTGGATGAGGGCTGCTATGTTGCTTGATCCTGGAATCCATTTGGATGTTGTTCCTTTTAGCAACACATCCTGTTTCCAATAGTGGTGCCAGACAGATGCCTCTAGGAAGTCCACAAGTCAACGGCTCTCCTATTGTACCCTAATGGTATTCTAAAGGTATGCTCTCTCTCAACATGGTATTTCTATTTATTGATCATAGCTGCTAGCTATTGATAAACAGTTATGGAAAGAGGAATTTTCTTTTGTCTATTCCAAACCTACAAATACATTTAGTTGGCAACTTCAGATTCTAGTCTTATTTGCATCACTACAGATTCTTGGGGAATTGATGGCTTTTAATGAAAGGGCTGGTGCCATGCTATTTTTTATCACATTTAACTTCTAACATTGATTTCAGTGGGTCTACTGCAAGTTCACTGCAAATAAGTCTAGATCCAGCCAAGTATGTAAATGTCTCTACTGACTCTTGTGTCTTCAAGTTAGAACAACACTGGAAAAGGTTCACAAACAATAGCAAGCCAGAGCTTTGATACTGATATAGATCAATGATTCCGTTTTATGTTCAACCAAGCATTTAAGTAACCTACAGATCAAACAAGGCTAACTTCTATAACTCCACATAGAACCCAATGTCTCTGTCCTTACCATGTTGTGCCAGACAAACCGGTTAAGTATGTAGCACAGTCTAAGAGATTTAACTTCTGAAGACCTCGTAGGCTTCCATAGAACGCAGTCAGTGATCTTGTACTGCCCCCTGTCGTTATAATTGCAACTACTGGAACCTGCAATGCATAAACAAGCAAGCTAGAGCACACGAAGATGCAGGGACACTTCACATATGGACACCATTATGACCTCTGTGCAGATGGTGGCCCCATGAACCCATGAGGGGTCTGGCCTCCCTGCTGTGGGGATCTGGCAAAGTAAATCTGCAGCTAATCTATTTCTGGATTAGAAGAGACTGGCAGCAAGAAAGAAATGTGCTGTTAGGACCCATCATGCTTGATGATGCAAAAGTGGAAACTGATAATTCACTGTTAATATTTTCTACTCCACAGAGCCTTTATAAAGGTGGTAATTAATTAATTAAGCAATATATTCAATAATAGAGATAAATTACAAACTGCAAAGAATGAATCAGCTGTTCTTCATTATTATTCAGGCAGTTATTCTGCCAGTTTGTGATATTAGTAAACAGTTGCTTCATACCCAGTTTCACAGCTAGCCTATTTTTCTTTTAGACATTGCATATCAGTTCAGAGCATTCCATAACCAGGCTAACTGAAAATACAATCTCTCTCACATCCCTCTCATTCATTTGTTTTGGTCAATGCCTTCTTTAAAATCTCCTCCGTCTCACAACTTCTCCTCCCCAACATAAGCCTATTTGCAGACCACAGTTTCATACATGTTTTACCAATTTGCATAGAAAATCTCATCTATGGTAATGCATGAAGTGTGGCATGACTGTATACATATTTGGACAGCTGTCTCAAATATGTAATCATGACATGCAACACACATGTCACACATCTCATGATATGCATGCCCCCTTTGAAATTAATTTGCATGTAAGCAATATATTACTTTAAAAACAAACAAACTAGAGATGACTGTGGAAAAGCAGGATAATGCACAAGAAACTGAAGTATTTTAATTATGCCTGTCAATCAATAAAATAAATTGCAGAATCTGCTTTTTAACCAGTGAACTGATTATTCTGTTTGAAGACATTTGCACATTACGAACACCTTAGTAGGGATGGGGTTTTTTAGATCCTGAAGCAATCTAAACTTGGAATATAACTTGTAATTTTGGAAAACAACAGCTACCACTCCTGAATGGAAGGTCACTTTCAACAACTTCATTCTCTGCCCCACACCCCAATCTGGTCCAGAGAGTTGGGGGTGGGGGAAACAACCCAGAACAGATTTAAGGGAGGAGTGGGGAGAAACTTCCATTGCCCAAGTGTATATCCTTGTGCTGATGGGATGTTTAATTAGTGCTCCACTGGTTTCGAGCAGTCATGTGCTCTTAAAAATCTCAACCCTAGTAATCATCACTGCTCCTTCCTGCACTGATTAAAATTCAAAGAGAACACAGTTGGCTAAGCAGTATAAAAGTATAATGAATCAAATAAATAAAATTGCTCTCTGTGCCACAACTGATGAAAACTTTAGCTGACTACTGATTTAAACCCCTCATTTTTAATTAAGTCTTGCTGATTTCAGTGGGAGAGTTTAGTGCATGCTTAAGCAATTACTTTAACAGTCGCTTTACTAATTGCATGCTTAACTCATTACATGGGTCTGAAGCCTGGGAAACCTGATAGATAATAACTATTATTAAATGTCATCACCACTGGTGTTGTCGAGATCAGCAGAACATGCAAAGGAAGGGGCAACAACAAGAAGCCGAAAAAGTCAAAGGGGGAAGCCTCCAACTGATGCTAAAAGTGGAAATGTTTATTGAAACATTCAGTATGCCCAATGTGTCAGGAATATCAAAACATATCAACCATTGGAGAGTCCCTGTCAGTCAGGGTAGAAAATACTGAACTCAATGGGCCCACGGTATCTCTCTCTGTGGTTTCAGACTGGAGACACTCCCAGTCCTATTTGTGGAATGCCCTTCCCAGAGAGGCTCGCCTGGAACCTGCATTGAATATTTCTCAGCACCATGCAAAAACGTTTCTCATCAACCAGGCTTTCGGCTGAATAACACTCTATGGCTTTTAAAATGCGTTTGTGGGAGGGAGGTTATTGTTTTGTTTTTATTATGTATTTTGAATTCTCATTATGTATTTTTCTGTTGTGAACCGCTGTGGGATCTTTGGGATCCCGCTGTGGGATTTATTATTTATACCCCACCCATCTGGCTGGGTTTCCCCAGCCACTCTGGGCAGCTCTCAACAGAAAATTAAAAACACGATAAAATGTCACGAGGCAAAAAAGAGGAGAAAAAGAGGAGCAGATTCAAGGCTGCTGTTTTCAGTGGCGGAGAACTTACTAACTAGTTTCTTCTTCAGTCTAATGAGGTCAATAGGGTTAAAGGCAGCGCAGCAATCTGAGCGAAGTAGTCAGATGCAAGAAAAATACATGTGCTATGGTGAGCTAATGCTCCTCTCTCATTGCTTGTGATACTACCGAGAAGGCCCTCTGCCTCTGCCTGGTTCCCTGTAACCTCACTTCTCATTGGGAGGGAACCTCCAGAAGGCCCTCGGAGCTGGACCTCAGAGTCCGGTATGCAAATTTAATAAATAAATAATACCGTATTTTTCGCTCTATAAGACACACTTTTTCCTCTCCAAAAATTAAGGGGAAATGTGTGTGCATCTTATGGAGCGAATACAGGCTCCATGGCTTCAGGGATAGCCGCCAGAAGACTCCGGAGGCTTCGTGTTGCTTTCGCTGAAGCCAGGAGAGCAAAAGGGATCAGTGCACACCGATCCCTCTTGCTCTCCTGGCTTCGCTTTGCTGGAGAGGTGCTGCGCAGCTTTCCCTCTCTGCGCAACGCCCCTTCAGCGAAGCGGGAGGAGAAATGGAAGGGGCTCCGTTCCTCCTGCCGCTTTGCTGAAGGGGCGCTGCGCAGAGAGGGAGATAAATTTTTTTCTTGTTCTCCCCCTCTAAAACTAGGTGCGTCTTATGGTCCGGTGAGTCCTATAGAGCAAAGAATACGGTACTTGGAAATGCCAAGGACTGAACCTGGGAACTTCTGCATGCAAGCAGATGTTATGCTATTGAGCTACAGCCCTTTTAGCCTGCATTTTATTATGCTTGCTTTCATCTCAGAGGATGAGAAAATAGAACGGGCGACTAAGCCAATTTCAGCAGGGCACATGAATGAATAATGGCATGAATGTGATACCGCTTTGGGCAGTTGCTTGGAAAGTTCAGCGCTCACTCAAGCCTTGGAAAAGATGGCATCGTTGGTGAATTATTCCTCATGCGCACAGTGGCCAGTTCAGATGCAGCACTCTGACAACGTAATACTAAATCACTGCAGAGAACAGGAAAGCAACTTTGTATGGGACAGTGGTGTGCTGACCATGACACACATTATTCTTGCTCCCAGACTCTCTCTGCAATTTCTGTTCCACATATTGTGATAATTCATACAGCAGCGATAGCCAGAGTTCTGCATCACATACCTCATGATCCTGCAGATCCTGTTCTAGTTTGAGAACATTTTTCAACGCCCCAGCAACAATCTTCTGCCTTTTGCACAAGAAATCTTGCTCCTGTGTACAAAGGCCATATCCCAAGCGCACATCTAGGTCAGTCTGGCTGGAATAGCCACACAGAAGGTGGTAGGGGGAACACAGGCATATTGTATCTCAGAATCTGTTTCAGAACTTTTAAAAGGTGCTACTCATCCAAGAGTCAAGCTTAGAGACTGCTTGCCAACATCCCTGAGCTGACCAATTAACAAAATGTGTGGCAGGCGAAGCCTCACGGGGCATCAAGTCATTTGCTTTCACAAGGCAGCAAGGTTTATGTGGTGGTTTTTACACAGCAGTGATTTCGATTAAAAAGACTAAGCAGAACGACACCACAAAAGTGTGGCTTACTAGAACTCTAAAGCTATAGGGTACATCAGCCCTCTCTGTATAAAATGTGACTCTTGTTATATAGATGTAAATTCTGTTTATTCAATAAATGTTAGGTACAGTGCTCATACTGCATACAAATGACTAATATCCTGAACACATGGCTAATCTCCTGTAAGAATATTTCTCCAGCAGACAGACAAGTAGAAAAATAGTTAAGATTATAGCTATCCAACACAGGAAGCATCTCTTACCAGACTTCTGTTTTCACATGCAATGCCATTTTTTTATTCTGAAAAAACAAAAACAGAATGCAAACACAAATTTCACTCCTAGGAATACATTGCCTCCCTTTGAAACAAGGTGCATAGATGCCCTGAGTCAGTTCTGAAGATGCATGCATGTAAACAGAATTCTTTTGGAAGATTCAAGACAGACAAAAAAAAAAATACATATTCAGTATGACATTCACTCACACATGATGTAGTGATGGGCCACCATCAGTGCTATTCTTTTAGAAAAAGAGGCACCAGAATTCACCACCATCCTGTGTAGCTTTAAAAGAGGATTAGAGAATTCCTTGAGAATAAGCCTATCACTTGCTCTTAACCATGTTCCATCTTCAGTGTACTGGTTTCTGGGCATCACAAATGGGGAGAATGTGGTTGCACTTAGGTCCTAAGAACATAAGAAGAGCCTGCTGGATTGAGCCAATGGCCTGTCTAATCCAGCATCCTGTTTTTACCATGACCAATCAGATGCCCCAAAGCAGCACCTGAGCACAACAGCACAGTCCCCACCTGTGAGTGGGCTTCCCATCAGAATCTGGTTGGCCACTGTGAGAACAGAATGCTGTATTAGATAGTTCTTTGGTTTGTCTCGGCAAGGGTTCTTAGGTTCACACATTCCACTTACTGGGTTGGAAACCTTGGGCATAAATCTTAACACAAATTCAGATAAATATTGAAAGGAGGATACAGGGGTGAGGAACTTTTTCCAGCCTCAGAGTCACATTGCCTCATGAACAACCTTCTATATGGCCTAGAAGCCAACAGCGGATGCAGCAATTGACATGGCCTTTGTACAGTAGGCTACATTATGCAAAAGTGAGCCATTTACACCCACACACCCCTCTCCGTCCTTCATCTAGATAAGAGGCATTACCACAGTTACAGAACACATTCCATACAAGAAGATACTGTACTTGAGGATAATAAGGCCTGTGAGGTGCGCAGCCTGGGGAGAGTCCCACAGGCTGAACAGGGAGACCTGGAGGGCTGTACTTGAGATTTCCCATCCCTCTTCTATACAGGCTATATTACTTTGAATGGGATACACATTCCAATGCAAATCCCCTTCTATGTTCTCAAGCAGCTAAGCAAACGTTAGCATCTTGATTATGCATGACTAGAGCCAGATAAAGGGTGAAAGAAATGCTATAATTTCTAACAATTATTTCAATTGGCTAGGCAACCCACTTTATGACATAACAGGGATGGATCAGTCTATTGCTGATCTGTGTTAGTATCCCATGTGGTTAGTCACAAATCCATTCCATCCCATTTCCACATTAAGATGCGATCCCCTCTTAAAATCTCCACTGAAATTAATATTTAAATATGCATTTTATCACAAAATACCTTTTTGCATACTCCCCCCCTGCCCCCAATGTACACATTTTAATACATGGAAGTGAGAAATCTGAAGGTTAATTATATTCTGATCAGTGCATTAATCCAGGAGGTGTAAATTGGTTTGGTTTCCTTAATATTGCAGACCAAATGAAACCGTACAACAGTGTCTATCAACCAATTAAGACTGTAACAATCAATAAACTGGCTTCTGGGTGACTCATGAATTAATTGATTAAATTTATATTCACCCCCATATTGAAACATGTCGATAAATTTGCCTTTCTGGGAATCATAAATAAAGGGGAAGTTCTTCCTTCTTTCTACAATTTCTACTCAGAATTTAGATTTTTTTTTTTAAAAAAAGGACTTTTATCATATTTGTTAGTTAAGCAATATGTTAAAAGATTTAAAACTGCCAGAGCAAAGATGCATAAATAGTTATAAATAGTTAGATCCTTTTACATTGTTTCATTATTCCTCAAAAGCAACAAAATAAGAAGCAAGTGATTCAATAAGCCATAAATCAATAATTGATTCAGACTGAAGGATTTAGATAGCTTTGGAATTTTACTTTGGAATTGAAATCTTTTTTACCGCGTTGTACATATGGCCTTGTCCATGATGTCTACCTAATCATTATATTAACAAGTAACAATGACAACGATAAACTGGCCCCTTATGCTGTAGATTATGGAAGCAAGCAATGATGGCTATTTCTCTTCCAAAAGAATCCATTCAAAGCAATATTCAGGAGGACAGCAACTGATTCTCACCTCTGCGAGCACTATTTTCTTGCTGGTAGGAAGTGAACTTATATCCACTCTGAGGGATCTTTCTTTCCTGTTATAAGAGCTTGGTCCCTGGAAGAAGAAGAAAACCCACATGTTTCTATGAGAAAGAGTGCAAAGTTGCATGTCTAGGATTTTATCCAAAGCTGTTTGCACCTGAGGAGAAAGGATTATGCAACAGGATTTCAGTTTCCACTTCTCCCTCCGGTAGGGTGGTCAATCAGTGTCTGGGTGAAAATCGGTAAAATGTCTGGGAAAGTCCATATGGCAGGCCATATGTCTGGATTTTCACTGTTTGAAATATGGCAACTCCACCCTCCAGCATCCTTCTGCACACCTTTATATTCTGCTCCGGAGGGTTGGGGGAAGTCCACTCACAAAGTCTGCTCATCCGTATCTTTTTATTTTTAAAAAACCTGTATGCTTCTCCCTTTAGTATACACATGATATATATTCTCAGAGTGGCTTTCACAATTAATCCCCTGTTCCCCTCCCCCTCCCGGAAATAAAACATCAATGAAAAAAAGGAACCTTTTTATCATTAGGGTTTATGCACACTTACATTTCCTCCTCTCTTTCTAGGCATGGTCTGAGCTTCATGTCTGAGCACATCCCCCCCTTTTTTTTGCTCTGCAAAACCACTCTTTAAAGCTCAATTGGAGCAAATGACAATCCATGCAAAATCTGAATGGATGTTTGCTCCAATTGAGCAGGTTATAATGGGGGAAAGCTCTGGGACAAAACAAACACAAAACCACTCAGACACAGAGATTTTAAGTGCAGGCCCAGAAAGAGTGGGACCAATTGGAAGTGTGGATAAGCCCTTAGTGTTCGGCTGATGAATAACGTACAAAGGCATAATCTAGATCCTTCTTCGGTAGTTTAACATCCATTGTCAGGTGCTTATATTTGGCATAGTGGAATGAGGACTGGCCTGAACTAAGCTCCTGGTATCCTTCATGGGATCCTTTCATCATAAGGGATAGTTCACGTTCTGAAAGAAAGAAGGGAAAATGTTCATGACAGGTCTGTTGCTTGCAATAACTTTTTGTGCTAAACTCAAAGTGGGCCTCTGCAAAAATCAGATTTCTTAATGGCATCCACATCACTAATTTATATATTACTTGCTCCGTTAGTTAACTTGGCCTTGTTATTGCACCATGCTAAGACTCCGAACAAAAGCTATACTTTTGAGGAAATCAAATATGAACAGTGAACTATCTATACAGTTCCTTATTGAACTTGTCTTGCTCATTGCATTCCCATCCATCATAAATATTCATCACCCAGCTGGTAAGCAATACTCTTTGAATGCAAAGGCACATTCACAGCACAATCCTCTCCCTGTATACTCAGAGGCAGTGCTCTTTTTCTAAGAAAAATATGTTTAGGGGTACTCTCATTTTCCTACGCATATTGAAATACTGCCCCTCAATGAGGCCAATCTTGGATTCACAAAAGTTGGAGTGTGTGATGTGGCTAATCAAGGAGAAATGTAATGATCAGAATATATTGATGAAAGATACAGTATGAAGAAATATCAACTTAAGAGAACTAGGCTTTATATAAGATTAGGTAAGTTTTACTAGGCATTCTATATATTTAAAACAATGGTGTTAATTCATTTTAAGCATTCTTCAAAATAATTATTACTGGTTGAAAACTAGAACTTCCGGGGTGGCGAGGAACTTCCGGGGTGGCGCCATCGGTAATGGTGGACTCCCTCTGATCCGGAGGGAATGGCTCTACGGAAATCGGGTCTGTTCCACTACGGCGAAGCGGGGACCCTTTAAAAAATCACAGGCGGGTGAAGCCTGTGACCGTGGGACTCAGCGGGCACCTTTCGCGCCCCCCCATTTGTAAAGGAACCCAATTACGGGCTCCAGAGTGAAGCGGGGCAAGCGGCACGGTGCTGAGAGTCAACTGCTTCTTCTGTGGAGCGAAGCCGCACAGCCGTTACCGGAGAACACTGACTTTTTCCTGTGACAATCTGGCTACAAAAACAACTACCCGTGAGTAGGTTAAATTTGGAAATAAAGGAAAATAAAGACTTAATTCGACACCGAAGCGGGGAGGCATAAACAGGAAGTCCGCCTTCCATTTCTTGTAAATAGAGTAAAGCAAAGAAGTTGTAAGCTAAGACCTGGAAAGTCGATTGAAAAGGACTATAATCCTAACATCAAAACAAGTGATTCCCCCCTTGGTTGCAGGAGAGGAGGGGGGAAAGGTGTGAACTATATTTTCCTGCAAAAAGAGAGGAAAGGAAATAAAAATCCACCGCTTAAAACCTGGGAACGGGCTGCCAATGGACAATAAGATTGCCGTATTGTGAAATGCGCTGCTTGTGAATAGAGTACTTTTTGACAGCTAACTCTGCAAGAGAGATACATTGTTTCTGGCTGGCTTCTCCTGATTTTAAAGTAACTGGAAACTAACTGAAATTGAAATTGTTGCCTATTTTGTGAATTGGGGGATTAAAAAGAGTTATTTTTACTGCAACAAGCTTTGACTGTTACTGTGTCCCCAAAGAGGAAGTTTGAAATTGTTACAACAACTGGGCCAGGGGAATTTTCCACTTCAAAACAAATTCTGGCCGTGAGATTGACCTTGAGCTTCAACTAGAGTGTTATGGCAGATGGAAAAGAAAAAATAGACTTGCTTCAAGAAAAAACAACGAGGTCTGGTAAATCTTGGCAGCCGCGAAGAGCATCAGCATCTGGCCCTTCTGTACCATCAGGGGCTGCACGTGTACAATTTAAATCAAAAGGAATGCCATCTGAAGATGTTTTAGCTCTGGCATTAGGCAAAATTAATGAATCTTTGGAAAAATTAAGTAAACAAGTAGCTGAAGCATCAACTAAAATTGATCAAAACACTACAAGCATTAATAATTTGGGACAGAAGGTGAACACTAACACAGAAACCATTGATAAATTGCTACAGGAATTTACTTTGACCCGAAAGACAGCTGAAGAAGCAAAGGAAAAAGCAGTTGCTGTAGAGGAGAAGATACCACCGATACATAGGCAACTCGAGGACCACAGGTCGATGTTGTCTATGATTGAATTGAAGGAGAAACAAACGAATTTGAGGATCAGGGCCGTACCTGAACTTGAGAAAGACAATCTGATTGACTTTCTTACGCAGGAATTTGCAGACTTTTGGGATTTAGATTTGGAGAAGGAAGATTTTAAGATAGTGAGTGCTTTTAGGCTTGGAAGAGGGGGGAAGAAGAACAGGGTGAGAGTCTGTTTGATCACCCTCCGAACAAAAGAGGAGAGAGACAAAATCTTGAGTCTGCACTTTCAGAAGACTCTGGAAATACATCAGTCAAGAGTGGAGATATTTAAAGACATCCTGAAACATCTTTTGGACCTTAGGTCCAACTACGGAGATTTGGTTGCCCTGTTGAGAAGTAACAGAATTATCTTTAGGTGGGAATTTCCCCAAGGCCTATCTTTTAGCTTCAAAGGAAGAAAGATAAAAATAAGATCAGTGGACGATAAAGAAAGATTTTTGAAAGATCACGGAGAAGATTTGCAGAAAGAATCTGGAGAAGAGCTAAGAGCATTAGAAAGAGGAATACTAGACATAGCAACACTACCTTTTGGACTGGACTGCTTAGAGAAAGCGATACCCCCGACGGAACAAGAACAAACACTTGGCGCAGTTGGAGGAAAAGCAAAGTAACTACATCATGGCTCTGCAACTATTAAGCTGGAATACTAATGGTCTCAACTCCCCCCAGAAAAGGAAAAGAGTTTTTCATTTATTAAAAAAGGAACAATTGGACTTGATTTGTTTACAGGAAACACATGTGACAAGGCTACATAGAAAAGTATTGATCAACAAAAGACTGGGTCAAGAGTTTATCTCATAGGACAAAGTTAAAAAAAGAGGAGTAGTGATTTATGCAAAGGAGAGTTTATCACCAAAATTTATCTTTAAAGATGACCAAGGAAGATTTGTGGCAATTGAAATTCAAATCCAAGGAGAGAAATTTTTGATAGTAGGAGTTTATGCACCAAATGAGGGGAAATCTGAATTCTTTAAAAAGTTGCATGAGACCTTGATGGACTATTTGGACTATAATGTGATTTTGATATGAACGGAGTTGTATCTACAAATATGGACAAGGCACAAAGACAGGTAGTCACTAAGGATGGTAGACTACCGAAAACCTTTTTTGAGATGACAGACAACTTGGATTTAGTTGATATTTGGAGAACAAAGAATCCCTTGGGTAGAGAGGGAACCTTCTTCTCTGAAGCCAAAATGACATGGACAAGAATTGACCAAATATGGGTAACTAGAGGAATGGCACCAAAGACAAGAAAAGTGGAAATTTGTCCAAAAACCTGCTCCGACCATAATGCCGTGAAGATGGAGATGAAACTAACACCAACTGGCTCTTTCAGATGGAGGATGAATGACACCTTATTTAGAGATGAAGAAGTGACTAAGAAGGCCCAAAAAACCTTGAGAGACTATTTCGAGACAAACATGAACACTAATGTTGAAAAAGAGTAATCTGGGACGCAAGCAAAGCGGTTATGAGAGGGTTCCTGATACAACAGAATGCAATAAAGAAGAGAATCCAAAATGAGAAGAAAGATAAAATTTTGGAGAAAATAAAGGAAAGTGAGAAGAAATTGAGAGCAAAACCAAAGTCGCAAGAGATCTTGAGAGAAATAAAGTTATATCAAGTACAATATATGAAAATGATGAATCAGGAAATAGAATGGAAAATTAAACAAATGAGACAAAAGACATTTGAGTCGGCTAATAAATGTGGGAAATTGTTGGCCTGGCAAATGAAAAAAAGACAAAAACTAAACACTATTATAAATCTAGAAGTGGAAGGAAAGAACATACAGAACCCAGTCGAGATTAGAAACTGTTTCCAGAGGTACTTTAAACAATTATATACACAAGGGCCACAGAAAGAAATTGATATAGATCGATTTTTGAAAATAAATGGATTACAAAAATCTCTCAAGAAAACAAATTAATGTTGAATTATAAAATAACTGAACAGGAGGTAGAAGGTGCCATTCAGAATATGCAATTAGGTAAATCTCCAGGACCGGATGGACTGACTTCTAGATACTACAGATCTTTAAAAGAATGGCTAGTACAACCTTTAAAGGAAGTCTGTAATGAAATATTGGATGGGGAAAGGGCACCAGAGTCGTGGAAGGAAGCGTATATCACACTTATACCGAAAACAGAAACTGAAAAGACGCAGCTCAAGAACTATCGCCCCATATAACTGCTTAATGTGGATTATAAAATCTTTGCAGATATTTTGGCTAAAGGACTAAAAAAAGTGCTAGTGGAAGAGATTCATAGAGATCAAGCAGGCTTTCTCCCGGGTAGACACTTGTCTGATAATATGAGAAACATAATCAATTACAAGTGAATATTAATACCAAGGCAGTTTTGATATTTGTGGACGCTGAGAAAGCTTTTGACAATATTTCTTGGACTTTTATGAAGAAGAACCTACAGGGGATGGGGGTAGGTCAAGGCTTTGGAAATGGTATAAGTGCAATTTATTCAGAACAAAAGGCTAAATTAATTGTTAATAACGTGGTGACGGAGGAATTTAAGATGGAAAGGGGGACACGACAAGGTTGCCCAATCTCCCCATTGCTTTTTATATCGGTCCTGGAGGTCCTGCTGAATATGATTAGAAGGGACCAATTGGTTAAAGGTATACAAGTCGGAGCTAAACAGTACAAATTGAGAGCATTTGCAGATGACTTAGTATTGACATTACAGGAGCCAGAATCTAGTACTAAAAGAGTTTTGGAACTGATTCAAGAATTTGGTCAGGTTGCAGGATTTAAACTGAATAAGTTAAAAACAAAGGTCTTAGAGAAAAATTTAACAGCGATTGAGAGAGAGAGGTTTCAGAATGAGAAGCCTAGAATAAAATTTAAAATACTAACAGACGCAAAGGAAAGAGGTGGATTTGCCCTGCCAGACCTTAAACTTTATTATGAATCAGCAGCTTTTTGCTGGCTGAAAGAATGGCTGCTTCTTGAAAACACAGACATTGTTTAATGTCTGGATAAGATATAAGGACCTACTTGAAAATAAAACCCCAAGGTGGTTGTCACCGATGGAAGCGAAGGCTCAGAAAAAGCTCAATATGGAGGCCAAATGGCCGAAATATTGGGAAATTTTGGAACAAGAGGGAGACAAATTGAAACTGGAGAGTTTTGAAAAACTAAAAAATAAAGTGCGAGATTGGCTTCATTATTATCAGATAATGGAGGCATATAATTTGGATAAGAAAATTGGCTTCCAGGTGGAAAAATCAAAATTGGAAACAGAACTGTTAGATCCCAAAACCAAGATTTTGTCAAAGATGTATAACTTGCTGTTGAAATGGAATACTCAGGATGAAACGGTGAAATCTGCTATGATTAAATGGGCACAAGATGTTGGACATAACATAATGATGGCTGACTGGGAACAGTTATGGACCACAGGAATGAAGTTTACGGCATGTAATGCCTTAAGAGAGAATATTATGAAAATGATTTACAGGTGGTACGTGACACCAGTCAAGCTTGCAAAAATCTATCATTTGCCCAATAATAAATGTTGGAAATGTAAAGAAACTGAAGGTACATTCTTTCACCTTTGGTGGACGTGCCCAAGGATTAAGGCATTCTGGGAAATGATTTATACTGAAATGAAAAAGATATTTAAATATACCTTTCTGAAGAAACCAGAGGCCTTTCTCCTGGGCATGGTTGGCCAAATGGTGTTAAAGAAGGATAGAACTTTCTTTATGTATGCTACAACAGCAGCAAGAATACTTATTGCAAAGTATTGGAAGACACAAGAATTACCCACTCTGGAAGAATGGCAGATGAAGGTGATGGACTATATGGAACTGGCGGAAATGACTGGCAGAATCCGAGACCAGAGAGAAGAGTCGGTGGAAAAAGATTGGAAGAAATTTAAAAACTATCTACAGAAATACTGCAAAATTAATGAATGTTAGAATGATGTTGGATTGAAGTTAAGTGGTTTTTTAGCAGCAATGTTATAAAGGAATATGTAAAAATGGATTGTTAACAAGTGATAATCTAAAGTCATAATATATTAAGAAAAAAGATTAAGATAAAATCAAAGAGGGAAAGGAATTGCTGAATTAACTAATGGAACTGGAATACAAAAAAGGGAGGTGTGAGGAGGTCAGGGAAACAAGCAAATGAAAAATAAGATATGGAAAGACTGATTTGTTTTTAACTGTTTTTATCTTGTATTTTCATTTTCGTTTTTTTTTTCTTTTTAAATTTTTTTTTCTTATTTTTGTAATATGCTGAAACTTTAATAAATATCTTATATAAAAAAAGGAAACTAGAGAAACCATTATTACTATGATGAAAATCTTACTTGATTTCTTTCTTTTTTTCTTCTCTACTTCAAATTCCAAACAACAAACTTCACGAGCCTGTAGGCATACAAGAAGACAGAAGAACATTGAAAGTTTAGAATCTAGTTGAAACTTCATTTTATTACTTTCTTCACCATCTAAAAGTTAGCATTTGGAGGGGGGCATAATAATCAATCCCTTTCAAAACTGAATGACTGAATCACAAATACAGTACAGTTCAGTACAGTACAGTACAGTACAGAAAATACAAGGATTCTGAAATAATTTTATATAGTGTTTGATTACAATTCAGACTTAAACGTAAAAGTAAAGGTACCAGTCACAGACGACTCTGAGGTTGCGGTGTTCATCTCGCTTTACAGGCCGAGGGAGCAGGCGTTTGTCCACAGACAGCTTCCGGGTCATGTGGCCAGCATGCCTAAGCCACTTCTGGCGAAACCAGAGCAGCACACGGAAACACCGTTTACCTTCCCGCCCAGAGTGGTACCTATTTATCTACTTGTACTTTCGAAGTGCTAGGTGAGCAGGAATTGGGACCGAACAACGGGAGCTCACCCCGTCGCAGGGATTCGAACCGCCGACCTTCTGATCGGCAAGCTCTAGGCTCAGTGGTTTACACCACAGCGCCACTTAATTAAACCCATTTTAAAATTATTATTATTTATTAAATTTGTTAGTCGCTTCATCTTGCCCAAGGCTACCCAAAGCAATTTACAACCAAACTCATTGAAATTAATGAGCCTACACACCTACAACTTAGTTTGGATCCAATGTATTGATTTAAATTTTTTTAACAAGAAGAGCATTTTTTTAAAAGGAAGCAAGTAAGAAAGTTGTGGCCATAGGCTTGCTGCCTGGATCACAATTTTTATGGAATGTTTAATTTCAGAACCTCAATCCATGAAGAACAGACAAATGTATTATGGATGGTATTTATATTTGCCCATATTTTAAATTCTCAAAGGAACAAAAACCCAATGTCTGTGGTTAAAGCAACAGGGAATACATCCAATAGGGCTAAGCTGGGTTCTGCTGGGACCTATTCAGTCAGGCTCAAATCCAAATGGTCAGTAAATTTCTCAGGAATGACAAATGACATATTACCCACACTTGACTGGATTAAAAATAATGATTGGATTTATCAATATATTGTCACATTTAGTAACCTGTTTCTTAGATTATATATTTTTACTAGGGCTGCAATAAACCTCTTTCAACTGGACTTATTCCAGAAATAAGTATCCATAGGGTTTATCACATGTTTGGAAAGGCCATGATAACTTCAACTGAACCCTCAAGTAATTAAGCATCCCATACAGGAGAAGATGCCTGATGGCTCAGTAGGAAAATTATGTTCAGTTTTATACTATTCCTGTCTCAGAAAGTATATAATAATTCATTAACTTTGATATAATTTATAATCTCTTTGTTTCCCTTGCACTGTATATCTAAAGTACAAGAAAGCAGACAGAAAATAACAAAATTACCAGAAGAGTTCCATTCGTAACAATGGTTTCAGGAACACTCAAACTGAAAAATAAATGGAATATAAATGAATATACATTCATATAATAAAATGTTTATGTTCCTCTTGAAAATGGAACTATTGCTGAGGTGCTGTCAGTGTTCAACAGCAGAGAGAGCAAGAGGGGTCCTTGAAGGGTGTGAGGGCAAGTTTGCTGCCATACTTATTTTCCCTTCAGAAAATCTTTTTATTTTCAACGCTGGCAGAAGGAGAAAAAAAATAAAGAAAAATACACTTTCCAGTCCTGTACTGTTGAAATGGCAACGAGACCACACTGGCCTATTTATTCTGTTTGTATTCTGAATGTTCCTATGTGATGCCAATAAAGGTTACTTGACTTGACTTGACTTTCCAGTCTGCTGGCATGAGCTCAGTAAGGCTTTGAATTTGACAACTTCTCTGCTTTTGATTCTCCTTCCCCATACCAGATACCATAGCTTTGCTGTTGTAGCCTGGGAAATTAAAAAATACAACATTTCTTACGGGGCTTTGTCAAAATGCTGGCCAGGCCTGGAGCATTAATACATGTTTCTTTTGCTGTCATTGGGAGAAATGTTGACAATGTTCCCTGAGTTCTAATAATTAACTCATTTTTTATGGATTTACATTCTGGTTATCAGAAGGGTAAGGCATGTTGCTTTAAGTAATCTGTAGTATCTGAATTTACTCACCTGTTTCGTAACTCAAATTCCACCTCCAGCTCCTCTTGATCCTGAAATAAGAGGGTGGTCAGTGAATTAAACCCTTTTAATAACAGATTCTGCGCTGCTAGACTACAAAATACAGTGGTACCTTGGTTTTCGAACATCTTGGAAGTCGAACGTTTTGGTTTTCGAACACTGAAAACCTGGAAGTAAATGCTTCTGTTTTTGAACGCACCTCGGAAGTTGAACGGCTTCCACTGGGGGTCCCCCCCCATTTTCTCTATTAAATTTGCAGACCGCCCTTTTGAACATTTCAGAACTCGAACGGTCTTCCAGAACAGATTATGTCTGAAAACCAAGGTACCACTGTATGTAACTGCAGACTAGTGAGACCTGACATATACTGTCAGCAATTCCTCATAGCCACACGTGTGACAGTTGTCATGGAAAATTAGAAGGGGGAATGATGAGGTTGGGAAAAGGCATGGGAATTATAATCATGTTTTCCTCTTTTGATCACCATTTATTTTCTATATACCAAAATTCTTTAGTTTGACAATGTTTCCTTTCTCACCAACTTTTTAGGTGCAACCTAGTTCCATTAAAATCAGTTTAAATTTCCCATGGGTTACTTTGGCTAGTATGTTGTTGTTGTTGTCATCGTCTTATTAGATTTATTAAATTTTGATCTTCATCAAAAGATCTCAGTGTGGTTCACAAGATAAAAATACAAGATAACCCCCCCTCCCACAAACACATATTTTATTTAGTACTATGCACCCCTGAACTTCCCTGATCGCCAAGGCCCAAATCTATCTATCAGTTCTTGTTGGGGAAGGAGAGCTGTGGTGGTTGAAGGACTGAATCCAGTTCTAGTTTCCTCTCCTGAACAGCTGATAGCTGGAAATTTAGCTTCTTTAAAGGTATGCATGCATACAGCACAAGACTCTGGATTAAAGAAGAAAACTGCATGAACCTCATCTTGCTTGACAAACTGTTTCTCATCCAGCTAGGAGAGCCAACTTCCTTGTGAATGGTACCAGAGCTGGATTGGGGCAATGGGTTTTGTGTGTGTGTGTGTTTTGCATTTGTATTGCAAGAGAGCACTATAAAACCAAACTACATGTAGTACAGATATGGATGTACACCTGTTCATAAACATGAGAAACTCTTATGTTTACTTTGCCCCATTTCTGTATTATCCTGTGATTTTTCGTTGCTGAAAATTTGTCAGCGTTGAAATTTTTTCAGCATTTTGTATGATTTCTCCCATTATACATATTTATGTATGCAATTTTCCCCAATATACTCATCTTTGTAAGCAATTTCCCCTAATACAACTCATTTTTGTACATTATTTTCACAAATATAGGCATTTTTAGGCCCCCTTTCCCTATATGCACATTTCTGCATCAATATCTTACTGGAGAACTGATTCACAAAATTCAGAGAAGTGTGAATTTGAAAGGATAGGTGCATTTTGGTTCAAGTATTGTTTCAGAAAGGGCCAGTTAGGTGGGTTCATACTAAAACACGAACCAAATCAAAATCCCTTGTATCCCTAAATAATACACACATTACAGCTAAGTTATTTTACTTAATTACCTATCAAGATTGTGAATTCTGGAACTTAGACATTTCAGGCAACAAATACTATTCACATCACAGTACAATCTTAAACATGTTTACTCAGAAACAAGTTCCACTTAATAATAATACTTCCTTTCTCACTGGGCTAAACCAGCTTATTGGTGAGTAATTTTTTACTGAACTTATGAGTGAACATGCATAGGATTGCCCTGTTAAACATTCTTTCTGCTTATACAGACCTTTGGATTGGACTTAAAGGACAAGAGCACTTTTTCATTTAGTGGGAGTCCAGCTATATCAAAGCGAATCGTGAAAAGTAGTTCGTCTTGGCAGACATCCTCATCGAAGACACTCAGCTCCAGTATGTTCTGATAGGAGAGAAAAGACCTATAAATAAATGCTAAAAGAACTGTACAGCTTTCCTACAGTTCTGTATACCCCAGACCGAAAAGGAAAACATTTTACAATGGCATGGAATTCCATGCAAGAAGAGACCAAACATGTTCAATTTAGAAAAGAGTTGGATAATTGGGAATATAAATTAGGCATGGGGTACATTTACTTTCAATTCCCTGCTCTTTCAAAAATAGGCATGTATTCCATCAACAGCTTCATTGCTTCTGTGGTCTTTGGACCTTGGGAAACTGCTGACCCACGCCTTCCCCACTTGACCTATGGCATATCTAAGGACTGTTCTAAATGAGGTGGCAATCATGTAAGGTGGAATCTCCCTGTGTACTGACTCATCCCATTCATATGCAACAGTCTTGCACTAATGATGAAGTTGTGTAGACATTTCATGCATGTAGCCAGTGCATGGGATAAAGCATTTTAAATGTTAAACCAACTGTGTGCATAACCTGAATAAGTACTTTTGGGATCTTCTTTAGGGCCACTGGCAGAGGAAGAGGAGTGCGGGGGGAGTGCACTGCCCCCGCAGCATGATCTCGGTGTGGTGCCATCGCGGCTGCCACCCCATCCGCGCTGGGCGCCACACCCCTGTGGCTGCGTGCCACGCCCCTGGGACGCAAGCCAGGCCTGCCCCAGCCTCATGAAGCTCCGCCACTGTTTAGGGCTACTGTCAAATTTAAATCAGTCCTGGAAGCAAATTCAAATATTTATGTGAGCCTATGTGCGTGAGCGACTGCTCATCTGAAATCATCCATGCATCCAAATTTCCCTGCACATGGAAAACTCACACATTAGGGAGAAGACTGATGATTTTTTCAAAGAAGCAATCATTCACATACAATAGGATTTGTGGAAGACTGTATGCATATATTAGAATTGGCGCAAAGCCGCAACAGGCACAGCAACACCAACTGCCCTATTGTGCCAGGTTGTGCCATGACACTGACGTCGGAACTCTACTGTTCAGTTCTGTGAGCTGGTGATCTTCTACAAATCAAGGCATGTTTCAAATTCACAAGAAATCACTTTCAGTGAGATTATGCTATACCAACAAGGAGTGACCATCGGTTTCTGACCTTCACTTTGCTCTGGACCATGAAATGGAAAGTTTCGTTCCAGACTGGGTCTTTAGAATTTTGAACAGTCTTTGTCTGGAACCTTTCAGAAGAAGCCGTTGGCAGCCATAGGGTCAAATAGCAATCAGTATGGCTTACTGTTGGGAGAGAAAGTAGCACTTTAACTGTGTGATAGCTGATATAATACAGTGGTACCTCTGGTTACGTACTTAATTCGTTCCAGAGGTCTGTTCTTAACCTGAAACTGTTCTTAACCTGAAGCACCACTTTAGCTAAAGGGGCCTCCTGCTGCCACTGTGCCGCCAGCCAGCGATTTCTGTTCTCATCCTGAAGCAAAGTTATTAACCCGAGGTACTATTTCTGGGTTAGCGGAGTCTGTAACCTGAAGTGTATGTAACCTGAAGCGTATGCAACCCGAGGTACCACTGTATACCTTGCAACTATTTTTTTAACAGGTATATATATATATCACTTTGTGCATTGGGCTGATATCTGTACAGAATTAATTCATACCCAATGTTGGCAAATATCCTTTCAAAAAATTCTCTGTTTGAACACGGGTAGGGATTCTGTGGCCTTCCAGGTGTCCCTGTATTACAACTCCTTTTTATAGTTTTTTTTATTTATACTTTTCAAATTTATACATTTTATTTATTTTACAATTCATTTAACATTTCAAAATTTGACTTCCTTCCCCTTCTTTCTGCGATTCCTTAAATTTATTTTTAAATATCTTCTGCAGATCCAAATTCATTTATTTTCCTCATTTAATTATCTACTGTAAATATATACTCTTATAAAACTGCAGGTTATTTCAATATGTAACCCTGCTAATGTTTTTATCTGTTTACAATTTATCTGCAAATATTCAATAAACCATTTCCATTCTTTTATAAAAAGTTTGTTATCTTGATTTCTTACTCTTCCGGTAGGTTTCACCATTTCTGCATATTCCCCAAGTTTTTGTATCCATTCTTCCTTTACTGGGACTTCTGCTTCTTTCCATGTATTACAACTCCTATTATCCCTGATTATTTAAAGTGCAGCATGCAGATTTAGTTAATTAGAATTTGTAGAAAATTCACAACATCATATTAAGTGAAATGTCCAGTATCAATATTCCAACACAGGGATGAGGAACCAGTGGCTGTTTGAAAGTTGTTGGACTCCAGTTCCCATCAGCCCCAGCCAGCATGGCCAAGGGTCAGGGTAATTGCCTTTTCCTTTTCAGTAAAAGATTGGCCTGTTAAAGCCATATTGGGCACCATAGTCTCATTGCATTCCAGCCCACCACAAAGGAATAGAAAAGCTACTTACGGGTATCTGCTCGCCGGAGATTCCTTGCTCTGATCATTCTTACACTAAGCAGACAAAGAGGTGATGTTTCTATCTGCATGCAAATCATGTACAAAAATCAACATGAAAATGTGGATTGAAAGCAGGGAATCAAAGTGATGAGGAAAGAAGACCTGAGCAGGCAAAAACCACAGACGACTATTAAAGTGTGCTTAATGGCTATTGGAGGGACGCGGGTGGCGCTGTGGGTTAAACCACAGAGCCTAGGACTTGCCGATCAGAAGGTCGGTGGTTCGAATCCCCATGACAGGGTGAGCTCCCGTTGCTCGGTCCCTGCTCCTGCCCACCTAGCAGTTCGAAAGCACGTCAAAGTGCAAGTAAATAAATAGGTATCGCTCTGGCGGGAAGGTAAACGGTGTTTCCGTGCACTGCTCTGGTTCGCCAGAAGTGGCTTAGTCATGCTGGCCACATGACCCAGAAGCTGTATGCCGGGTCCCTCGACCAATAAAGCGAGATGAGCGCCGCAACCCCAGAGTCGGTCATGACTGGACCCAATGGTCAGGGGTCCCTTTACCTTTACCTTTAATGGCTATTGGGGGAGGCATACAACTGCCCCATCTCTGGCTAATTTTAGAATTCAATGGTATAACCATTAATGGTCTCATCCTCTGTATTCTGAGAGCAGGTATGTACACCAATGCAAGGAAGTGGGGCATCGGATGCAAGTTATCTTGAACAGTGAATAGTCTGGGCATAGTTTTGTCTACAACTCTGGGAGTGAATCATAGAGTTGAAGGGACCCTGAAAGTCATCCAGGCCAATCCTCTCAATATAGGATCCCCTCCAGCTTCTAGCCATGTCCCCAGTCTGTTCCACTGCTGGTCAGCTTTTACTGTTAGGAAGCCTCTTGTAATGTTAAGCTGAAATTGACTTCCTTGCAATACCTGACCGATCTTTCTAGTCCTGCCCTGAAGCAATAGAAGACAAATCTCACTCCACCTACTTAGTGGCTGACACCTTTTCAGATATTTGAAGGCAGCTATTGCACCCAACATGGTTCCCTTCTGATGTTGTTGGACTATAATTCCCATCATTCATTGGCCATGCTGGGTGTTTGAATCCAAGAACAGCTGGAGATCATGATGCAAGCTACCCCTGAGCTAGGCTGTAGAAATCTCACCCTTAGGAGATGAGAGCCCTGCTCATGAGAGCAAATTTTCCTATACAACTGGGGATTAAGGTAAAGGTAAAGGGACCACCTTACCCCTTTACCTAAACAGGAGTGCCTGGCGTGCTCTGGTCCATGGGGTCACGAAGAGTCGGACACGACTAAATGACTAAACAACAACAACAAAGGGACCCCTGACCGTTAGGTCCAGTCACGGACAACTCTGGGGTTGCGGCGCTCATCTCGCTTTACAGGCGGAGGGAGCTGGCGTACAGCTTCCGGGTCATGTGGCCGGCATGACTAAGCCGCTTCTGGTGAACCAGAGCAGCGCACGGAAACGGCATTTACCTTCCCACCGGAGCGGTACCTATTTATCTACTTGCACTTTGATGTACTTTCGAACTGCTAGGTTGGCAGGAGCAACTGGGGATTACATGTAAGTAATTTTCCTTCCCCTAGATTGTAATGCACAGAAGCCTGTACTAGTGCAGAATAGGATTGAAGTGCCCGTAGTCTGAGGGCTTACCCACACTTACATTTTGCCCCATGCTTTTCTGGCACAGGTCTGTGCTGTAAAGCTCTTTTCTTTGCCCCAGAGCACTTATTGCAAAAACCCGCACAACAAATGGCAATTTGGGTTTTCTGTGGATTACTTTGATTCAGCACTAAAAAGAGCTCTCAAATAGGGAGCTTTAAAGCGTGGACTGTGCCTGGGAAGCCTCCAGGAAAGGTAAGGGTGGATAAGCTCCAAGTCCCTGCTAAGAAGAAAGTGTATCCACTTGTTGCACTTAGGAAAGACTAGTGCCTCAATTATGAAATAATTATAAAATTGCTACCATTTAGAGTAAGACGCAGGAGTGGCAAAGGCAAATAATAGTGTAATTTTACTCAACAGATCTTTGTTATTTGTTCCCATTGGCATAATTCAAAATAACATTTTTGAAATATCTTTGATCAGGGCAAGAGCAACAACAAATGGTCCTAGGTTTGAAATTGTTGCCACTATGTTTCACTCATATATTTTCATCAATTAGGGTTGCCGTGTGTCTGTGTTTTCCTGGACATGTCCTTTTTTTCAGGGCTAAAATTTCTGTCCAGGTGGATTTTTTAAATTTGGCAGAATGGCCAGGGTTTTTTGGTTTTTTAACTTAAAGAGAAAGGCAGCACCCAAATTAAACATGGCCCCTTTCCCTCTTCCTCAACTAACCGTCCCACACAAGCACTCCCTTGTGACAAGGACACTACATGCATCTAAGCATCATGCCAGACAGCCCACTCATGGCTGCTGTGGGGGGCCAATCTGAGTCTGTGAGGTAGCAAAGTTATCACCGGCCCCCTTTAGTGCGAGGGCCTCCTTGAACTTTGCAGCAAACAGACGCTGGGGATCCGGCCCTCCTCCGTTCATCAGAGCAAAGGGAGCTCACTCTTGTTCTTCCTCCTCACTCCTCAACCCCCTCTTCCTCCCAGCCCTCCCTTTTACTGTTACCGTGAGTAACAGTATGGCACCGTTCGGCAAGCATGCTAATCCTCCTGCGCACTCCCCCCTGCCTTGCCAGGTTCCATCCCCACCTCAGGGAAGAACACCATGTAGAGCCACACTCCCTCACCCTACCCCATTCCACCCTTCCCCAACGCTCCCCCCTCTCCCGCCACTGCACACAGCACTGGACGATGTGGAGCCAGCGGGACACACCCACCACTGTTTTAGGATGTTTCAGAGACAAAGGGGCTCTTAAATATGCAGGATCCCATTTCGTCAAGTAGCTGCCTGCCTGCCCGCCTGCCTCTCTGGAGGATCGTGGAGGGCCTGGCCAGGGAGTTTCGGCGCTGACCCTCCCGTCTTGCGGTGCGGCTGAGGGCTGGCAATAGGAAAGAGAAGCCTCACGAATGTTGCTGCTCTGCGATGGCCTCCCAAGACAAGAGAAGGGGCAGCAGCTAGCAGGTTCACATGCCTCAATGTGTAAACCCATGGGTACACATAACAATAACAATAACAATAACAATAACAATAACAATAACAATAACAATAACAATAATAATTTATTATTCATACCCTGCCCATCTGACTGAGTTTCCCCAGCCACTCTTGGCGGCTTCCAATCGAGTGTTAAAAACAATACAGCATTAAATAATAAAAACTTCCCTAAACAGGGCTGCCTTCACAGGATTCTTTTTTTTCTTTTGCAGGAGTGCTTTAAATGTATGTTGTGTATGTAGTCTTTCTCCTCCCCACTCTTCTAAAATGTTCTAGAAAACAGCCTCTGAATTTTTCTTGTTTTTGATGTCATCTAGAAAAAAGATCTCAAAGCTAGAATGGTCTACACAGAGGAGATCCTGCTTCTGGCATCCTAGGCTCAGACCATTTAGCAGTTTAAACGCCACACTCAAAGCCAATACTTTATGTACTTTCTATCCAAGAGAGGGGGAAAACCCATTTCCCACTATCCTAATTTATTTATGATTTGTATCCCACCCTTTCACACACAATGCCTAGACTGCTAATGACTTTAAAGATAACAAAATCGCAGAATCAAACATTTGGAAGGGACCACGAGGGTCATCTACTCCAACCCCCTGCAATATAGTAATCTTTTTGCCCATCAAAGGGCTCAAACCCACAAACCTGAGATTAAGAGTCTCGTGTCCTCCTGATTGAGCTGAGCAGCTGCCCCACTATTCAAAGAAAATACAATAAAAACTAAAAAGAACAAAGACAAAAGAACCAAAATAAAAACAAGCATCTTCGCTATGAAATACCTTGAGACTTAAAGCATGAATTGGTTGAACAATCACTTTCTGTCCCCAAGGAATATTGCAAACTGTAATCTGGGGGGGGGGGGCAGGGAAAGACTCATGGAACAGAATGCTCAGCCATAAGAAGAGCCCTGCTGAATCAGACCAAAGACCAGCATCCCATAATGAAACATGCCTATAGAACACCATGCAGGAGAATGTGAGCACAACAAGTTTCTCCTGCTGTCATTCCCTAGTTAATTGGTACAAAACCAATGTCATTTTGTAGTGTGTATATGCTAACAAACAACAACAAATGCACCACAATTTTATAATGAAAGAAAAGAACATACACAATCTGCTTTTTGCTCCGCCTATCTGAACCGGAATACCCATGACGCTTACCAGATGTGATAAACTTCCACATGCTTCCATTATTGTTTTCCGTGCAAGTTTGTGCAGGCTAAATGTTCTCAATGGAGCCAAGGATAAGACTGTAAATATTCACACACATTTTTCAGGCTTTAAACCGGCAGAGGTGGATAAACGCCTGTTTCAAAAGTGATTCAGAGCCACACACCCTCTCGTTTCAGAAACAAAAAAATATTCCCTCCCACCTCCGTTGTTACGTTGCTATGCGGAACAAGAGTCAGCGTGAAGTGTCTTTAAATGTGCTAGAGCTGGTGCAATGAAGTTGCTAAGAACAGGTGTTCCTTTTCCTTCTAAACTACGCTATTGCATCTCCTTCCACCCTCCAGTTTTCTTTTGAAATACAATATGCATGTGTTTTCCTAACACAGATTTGGATCAGAAATGAATGTCCTCTCTCCTGGGTTAAACTGGCTGAAACTATGTCCTCAAGAGCTGTCCTTTTTATTTAATTATATTTGTTTATTATTTCATGTCTCTTATATGCCACATTTCCTCCAAGAAACTCAAGGCGGTCTAAGTGGCTCTCTCCATCTCCATATCACCCTTACAACCCTGTGAGGTAAGTTAGACTGAGAGTTGGCAAGTGGTTCAAGGCTCCCCTGTGAACTTCATGGTGGAGTGAGGATTTGAACCCTAGATCCTATTCTAACTCTCTAACCACTATGCCATACTGGCTCTGAGCAGCAGGGTCTGGAAGGGTGAGCATTGTTAGTCATGTAAAAAGG